TGATCCATTTTGTTTGTTCTGATTCTCTAAACATTAGGTGCTGCCTTTAAAATCTCTTTGATGTTCTCAGTGTTCTCTTCACTTTTCCAGTTTATTTTTCATTAGTGAACCAAATTACATTTCTGTAATTCTAGCAAAACAACAGTCCACATAAAGAATATTTACCATCTAAAAATACTAATGTCAATTATTTATAATGCCCTCCAGTATTTTAACTGTAATGAACAGATTTAAAAATAGTGGTATTCTGAACATGCATAACTTACTTGCTTTGTGTCAGATCAACTACAATGAGATCTTTCTCCAGAAGTACTACGACTGCATAGGGTTCTTGAAATTCTACAAGTTAAAAAAAATGAAAAAATTTTCATATTTCACATTCTATAAAATCACCAAACTTACACTTCCTTTATCTCCTGTACAAATGTTATTTAAATGATTTGAGAAGACCAAAATATGAGTCCAAGTAAGAAGTATGAAGAGCATGTTAAAAAACATATAGGTTGTATTTCTCAAACTTAATGTTTATTACCACGACAGGGAACAAGAAAAAAATGAGAAGTTGCATAGCATAGAGTTAAATATATCTCAAAAATAATGAGGTAGTGATAGTAGATTATTTGATGACAGTGAGTCTGTCATCTCCATCTCATAAACACTTATTCTTCTATAACCTTACATTTTAGATTTAATTTCATGCTTGCAAGGAAATCTACAAAAGGAACAGTAGTTCTGCTTCTCTGATCTATGATACACATTATTTCCCTATGAGAGGAACACTAATATTAAAAATTTTACTTTCAATTCAGTGTGATTTAACATGTATGTAAAGATTGCCTACTATGTGCCAAATGGTATACACCTCAAAAACGCAGAGGATCTAAGGATAGTCTAGGATTTTCAAGTTCTTAAAATTCAACTCGTTCTTTTTCTATTCATCCCTTCCTTTCTCCAATATGTTCTAGAAACTTTGTAAGAGCAAAGGACATATGGAGAATAAAGTTGACAAGGTCCATGTTCTCATGGAGTTTACATTCTAGAGATGTATACAAACCATGAACAGTAATGTGAGCTATAAAAAAATAACATGGATTATGATATAAGAAATTACTGTGGTTGGTGTGGGAGCACTAATTTAGTTGTAGTGGTCAGGGAAGACATTGCTTTTCATCTATAATAAGAATAATGGAAAGCCACAATTAAAGTGTTATTCTCAATTGAAAGAAAAAGTTTTTACAAAAACCTTTTACATACATGATATTTGATTCTCAGTAGCTAGAGCAAATATCAATAGTTTTCTATTTCATAGGGAAAATTGAGGTCCAAAATGGTTACAAGATTAGCACAAGTTTACAAAGCTAGTGATAGAGCTGAAATTTTAACCCAGAATTCCTGACTCGAAATTCCATCCTGCTTTCATTATACCAGCAGTTTCTACTGGCCAGTTTAGTATTTAATCCTAAATTCAACAATTACTTGGCAGTAATTTCATCCACAGTATTCTAGTCTTGGATGGAAAACTGGAATAGATGGCTTTCACATTCCTTACAGTCCTAAGAAGCTATAGAAACTATTTCGTAAATCATATGCTATAAGAGAAAAACTAAACCAAAACCCTAAAACTCAGAAGGAGCATGCCATAGTTTGGGTGTCTATCTATGTGACAATATGCAGTCATACTGCTTGCTATTCAAACTGTTCTCAAACTGAGGCTCTTTGCCCCTTCTGTCTTATTTCTTAAAGTTGCTTTTCAACATTGTTTCAATACTTCTGGGTTGTTTTGTTTTGTTTTGTTTTTCAATTGGAAGAACATTGGGGTTTTATGCTACTAGTTTCTTCTTTTTCTTGTCTCCCCTCTTTAGGAAAATCATCTGTTGGAAAGCACAGATTATTTTTAGGAGACTACCTAAGAAGTTCAGTAATAGTGGTTACCTCTGGAAGGGCAGAGAGAGAAAGTTTTCATTATATACTGTTGTGTATTGAAGGGTACTTTTCTGACATTTTCATGTATTATTTTAATTATAAGTAGTTAATAAAGTACATTTATATTTTACTGAGTAAAGTTAAACTATTTCTCCTAATCCTTGACCAAAAAAAGCTCCATCCTCATTACCACTTCTCTGAAAAACAGATATATATGTGGCTTAGAAGTTGATTAGACTTGATTACAATACATTTATAATTTATTATTACTAGAAATTATCCTAAAATTTCTACTGATGTACAGAAAATTATATATAACACACACATGGTGTTTGATTTTTGCAACCATACATTTTGAGTTTTTATTACTGGCATACACATCTTCTTTCTCTAGGCTCTTTAATTGGGAGGAATTTTCATAAACTCAGCTTTTGGTCCTCTGTTCGTTCTTTCTTTCTTTCTTTCTTTCTTTCATCATTCACTCTCATAACTCCAAAGAACATCTATATTCTGATGTTCACAAATATTAAAGATTTTTCCTGTTCTCTAAACAAATCCATAATCAGACTTAACTTTCTCTCCTTCAAAAAACTATTAATGAATATGTAACTACTATTCTTAAAATTTGTTATCTTTGACTCGTCTACCATGTCATTCCTAATCCAATTGTTGACCAAATTCAGTGCATTTTCTTCTTTCAGTTCCTATAGGCAGTACTCTGTTTCAGATCTTGACCATTTTACAGCACATTATCACAAAAGCCTGCCAGCTGGAATCTGGAATTTTTTAGATTTCAGTGTCTCTCTTTCTTCAAACCCACAAACTCCTTTTGGGCAAATCATACTAAAAACACTGCTTTCGCCCTAACTGGTTTGGCTCAGTGGATAGAGTGTCGGCCTGCGGACTCAAGGGTCCCAGGTTCAATTCCTGTCAAGGGCATGTACCTTGGTTGCGGGCATATCCACAGTAGGGGGTGTGCAGGAGGGAGCTGATCGATGTTTCTCTCTCATCGATGTTTCTAACTCTCTATCCCTCTCCCTTCCTCTCTGTAAAAAATCAATAATATATATACACACATATATATGTGTGTATATGTATATGTATATGTATATGTATATGTATATGTATATGTATATACAAAACCACACTGCTTTCTTTCATTTTAGTATTTTCTCAGAATTCCTCTGTAGCTCCCTATTTCCAAATACCTCCAAAGGCTTTCAATTATTTTTCTAAAATGACCTCTTGCTAACCTCACAATTCCTAAAACATTTACTCAATATCCTTTTTCAAGACTCAAGTCCCAGGGGATTGTCAAGGGTGGGGGGAAAAAAGGACATATATGTAATATCCTTTGTAATACTTTAAGCAATAAAACAATAAAAAAGGAAAAAAAGAGACTCAAGTCATTCTTCAAAGACTAGCTAAATCCTCTTTCCACAAACCTTTGCATGAATAGTTCAATCACCGACTATTTGACTAGCCTGAAATTAGTACAATTAAAAAACTTAAGATGTCACATTTTTTAAATTTAAGTCACAATTATCTCCCTCATCTGACCATATTTTATATAATTTGACATCAGAGATCAGTTTCATACTTCATTAGTATTCTCAACAAGTTCTTATAGTACTGAGGCCACAGAAGCATTCCATAAGTACTTTATTAACAACACGGGCAATTTATCTGTCTCCAGCAAGTCTAGAAATAAAGTGCCACTTTGATTGTCATCTCTTATCTACTTAACCCATTTTTAAAACATAAAACTAAAGAATAAAACAAATTAATATGTATAATAAAACTCACAATTTATCTTCTTAGTTTATAAAGTACATTAACTTTAGCTTTCCAATAATCATTTGGAATCAATATTATTATTCTCTTTCTACAAGTGATAAATGAAACTCAAACATAAAGTGACTACTTATCCAAGGTCACATAGCTACAAAATGGCAGAGGTAAATCATAAACCCAAATATTCTGCAAGTCTAAGTCTCCAAGTCCAGTGCTCTTTCCCCTATATCTATATGTGGGAATGTATATATACACTATGTTTTAATCATAAACTGATAGTTCCTTTTTGATGTTTCACCCTTTTAAATGTTTAGATTTCATTATTAAAATATTTCATTATCATAAGATTCCATTATATAATTTACATATAGTTTAGATTAATTTTTATGTTTACAAGTCTTTAAATTTAGGCTGATAAAAATATATCAGCACCTCTCCTCCTGAAGATTCTTCAGACAATTATTCTCAAAATTGAAATAAATCACTAACCACACATCAGCAATCCCAGAGTAATCAGAGGTGCTGCAGTTGCATCTGAAGCAAAGCCAGATGTGAAACAGATGCAGCACCACCAGAGTTACAGATCACTGATATTAGGTAAGTGCTTTAACTTTGATTGGCTTTGGAATGGGATGGGTGGAGCTGGTCTAGGAGAGGCTATTAGGAGACCTCAATTTCCCCAAGCGATTTCACCCTGGACCCCTATAGGACCCTCCCAGCTCAGCTTCCACCATCCTTATCAAAGTTTAAAGCACTTACCTGATATTGAACCTGAAACTCCAGCACTGCTGCACTACATCTGTTTTACTTCCAGTTCGTCAAGTAGGTACAGTTGCAGAACCTGCTCCAGCCCCTGTAGCTCACAGTGTTGTACCACAGTAGATGTCAGCTGTCAAAACTAAAAATATTTAAGCTTAATTTTGTTAGGAACTTATTTCAAAAAATGATTTCTCAACACAAATACTTTCATTTTAGTTACTTACCATTTGGATAGGGTGTTTCACATAAAGTTAGAAATTCAACAATAGGATGATCCATTTCAAGTACTGTAATTGCTTTTCCATGCATGATGGTTAAACTCGGTCTTCTGCAAGCTTTGTCATAAGACAGTCCACCAGAAAATATTATAAATGGTTCGCTATATAGGAAAAAAATTTAATAAGACTGAGAAGTCCTTTTTAGATGACACAATGTCACAGGATTGAGCCAATAAACTGGGTGCAGAGCTTATATGAGGTAATTACACAGGAGGACAAAAATCTTTTCCTGTCCTAAAGTATCTCACCCAACAATTTACTATTTTTCCATTTCCCTTTTACTGAATATACATTCTCACCATTAAAATTATTAATGAATCAGTCTTAAGATATTGAGGTGGGGGAAAGGGAAAGGCAGTGAGGTAGAAGGGAGGTGAAGGGGTCACTGACTCAAAAAGACATTCTCACATATAGTATTAGTTGGTTCCCAAACTTTAAATCACTAAATATAGGCTATGTTAGTTTTTTTCATATTAATCAGTTCGTATATTGGGTCCCAAATCTCAAAAAGAAAAAGGAGGCAAGTTTCAATATGAAATAAAATGTGACAGTGGCAAACCCAAAATGGTAGGAGGTAACATGAAAATTCTATGCAATGGAGTTTCAGTGGGAAAAGGTTATGATAAATAGATGGAGAAAACTAATGTGTAAGGGAAAAATAATTCACCAAACGAAATGTGATCTTATTCTCAATTTTACTTAGTGCCAGCCAGTTCCATTTAGCTTATAAAATTAACATCAATTACTTTTTTAATTCTCTGTTAGTTGCAAGATACAATTAGACAGAGTGGGAATGCGATGACTATAAGATAGCATAGCTGAGAGAAACCAAGATGGCGGCATAGGTAAACACGGGAGATTGCTGCCTCGCACAACCACTTCAAAAATACAACTAAAAGACGGAACGGACATCATCCAGAACCACAGGAAGGCTGGCTGAGTGGAAATTCTACAACTAGAAGGAAAGAGAAAAGCATACCGAGACTCAGAGGAGGTGCGGTGCGGAAGTAAAATACAAGGGTGTGGAGGTGCATGCTGAGAGGGCTGGTGGCTGAGGACATGATTGTCTTTTTCAATCGGGAGGGAGTCTCAAGCTCTGAGCTCCAGTTCTGGGCGAGTCTCTGGGACCCAGACTCATACAGGAGAAACGGGACTGTCTGGCATCGGTCGGTAATCGAGGGCAGCTTTCTCTCAGAGGTGCTCACAGTGATTGCCGGGGCCTCTGAGGGCACGACTGAGAGCAGCCATGCTGCTCACTCCACCTGCCCTGTTGATCCCCTGGGGCCCTGCCCCACCCAAGCCATGCACTGAGGCTTTTGCATAGGAAAGGCCAGGCCCTTTGTAATCTGAAAATTACCTAACAAACTGCAGCTGGCCCAAGGCCCCACAGCAACTTGCATTGCTTTACAGCTGGCTTCGTCTGGGTAGCCTCAGGCAGAGGCTAGATTAGCACCTCCTTAGATCCAAGAGCCAGTGTACCCAGTGGTCAGAGTGGGACCATCCAATTACAACTCCTCAGATCCATAAGGGACACACTCAGGGGGCAAACTCAGTGAGCACCAAAGCCCCACTGAAGCAAGTCTTGCCCCATAAGGGTGTCTTCAGCACAGAAGTTCTCCCACTGTAGACACGCTGATTCTCAAAGCCAATTGGCCTGGAGGTCAATTCCTCCCAGTGTTACCTAAACAATCAAGGCTTAACTACAGCAGACTGTGCACAAAGCCCACAGGGGGTGTACCAAGAGTGTCTACCTCAGGTAATTGGGGAGGCTGAACCACTGGGCCCTATAGGACACTTAGCACAGAAAGCCACTCTATCGACACAGCAAAGCATAAAAAATGCGGAGACAAAGAAACAGGACAAAAATGACAGAAATGGAGGAAAGCAAACTACTGAATATAGAGTTTAAAACCTCACTTTTAAGGTTTTTCAAGAATTTTCTAGAAACCACTGATAAACTTAATGGGACCCTCAAGAAATCTAATGAGACCCTTGAGGTTGTGATAAAGGACCAACTAGAAATTAAGCATACACTGACTGAAATAAAGAATAATTTACAGAGATCCAACAGCATACTAGAGGATCTCAAGAATCAAGTCAAAGATTTGAAATACAAAGAAGCAAAAACACCCAACTGGAAAAGCAAAATGAAAAAAGAATACAGATACCATCTCACATCTGTCAGACTGGCTATCATCAACAAATCAGCAAATGACAAGTGCTGGAGAGGATGTGGAGAAAAAGGAACACTTGTGCACTGCTGGTGGGAATGCAGACTGGTGCAGCCACTATGGAAGACAGTATGGAGTTGCCTCAAAAATC